TAAAATACCATTTTTATTTTGGAAATCACTTCACAAACCTGCCATCGACATTTTAAGGTATTACCTTCAATCACCTTTAAAACACATTTTCATCATATGTTGGCCAAGAAAATTATTTTTGTTGACTCACCATAGAGTCAGGTATAATGTTGTAACTCTTCGACAGATGTTTTGCACATTTTACTAAACGAAACGAAGGACAGCTAGCATCTGCTATACATATTCGTGTCAATGCTTGTTTGCCAAACAAAAAAAAAACGTATCCTTATTGGCAACTGTCCTTTACTTGCCAAAATAGTTGTTAGGAGTCAAATCAAAATTTCCGCCTATTGTCTGCAAATGTGGCAATAAGATTTTTCATATTTTTTTATTGTAAAAATGTGTTGTAAAATATACCTATGGATAATTTGGTGGGCATAAAAGTCTTATGGGAGGTATTTAATTCATAAATGGAGGTATTAGATGTTTATATGTATGTATCTATAAACACCAATTCATCAACGACCAGACGAAATAACAAAAGCTAGAATCTTGAATTTTTCACGACGGTCAGCCTTGATCCGTGTGCGTTTGAAAGGGCTAGATTTGTGGACATTCGTTCTAAAAAGGTACGGAAAGAGCTAAAATATACTACAATTGAACACTTTTGGAGTATTGGTAATTGGGTGAACAGAGAGTGCTTGAGATCTGAAATTTGGTATTAGGGTCGCTGTTCGTGTGTAGCCTAGACATATGTCCAGAGGTGATTTTGCAAATGTGTGTGTGTTGTTCCAAAAGTAATAAGTGGTACTTAATTTGAGTTTGGTTAAAAGGAAAAAAACTGAGATCCTGAAATGTGATATGGGTGTTACAGTTGGTGTCTGTGATTGAGAGAAGATCCTGGTTTTGGATATGCGCACTATAATTGCACTAAATGATACTAAATTTGATAACGGGAGAAATTCAAGATCTGAAATACTGAGATTTGATAATAAAGGTTACTGTAGGTACCTGAGGTTGAGATATGGAGATTGTTTTGAAAATACGTAATACTTGGTATTGGGTGAAATAATAGAGATATAATCCCCAAATTTGATATTGAGGTCTTTGTTGACATCTTGTTTTTGTTTTGCAAATGCGAACACTTGTTCGAAAATTACTAAATTGTACTAATTGTCTATCATTGTTAATGTTTAGGATGGATAGATGTAGATTGTTTTGGATATGCGTACGAACTGTTACTAAATTTTGGTATTATATAAAGGCATAGAGCCGAAATCCTGAAATTTGATATTGTTCGTTCCTAGGATTTAAATATGGACACTCTGAAATAGTTTAAGCAGAAACGTTAAGATTTGTCGGGCCAAAATATTAATACCCTCCCTCTTTAGGTAAAGAAAACATTTTTGTATAAGAGTATCGGAATTCAAATGTGTTTCACAAAACCATAAAGTGGGTGAGGACGTTGTATGGGGGCTATACCAAAACGGGAACCTCTATAGACAATTTTATACTTCAAGGATTGTCATCTGCAAAATCTTCCTCAATACAATTTCGTGGGTATCAAAATACTGAATTTCGGGGGGTATCGTTATATGTGCGCCATGGGAAAACGTGGACCTAAATATTCAATGTTCTGCCACCAGAGCTAGAAACCATTATGAACTACAAGTACCAATTTTTACACAAATCCGTGGAAAAATGTGGCAAAAATTATCAAAATACTGAATATCCAGAGGTACAGTTATATGGGGGCTATACAAAAACGGTGCTAGGTGGGAGAGCGGGACCGGGACTTTTTTATTGAAGAACCAAATACCGTAATCTCTTTCCGCTTGCCCGATCACAATACGATCCTGCAAGCGAGGGTCCGGGCGATTGCATAGTGTCTTAACTGGCTCAATGCTAACACGAGACCGGCTACCGTAAACGTTCGAAAAAAAAAAACTTTAGTTTAGAGCGCACAACAGGCCTGTACTGGCTTAAGTGTATGGCCATCAGGGCACGCGACGAATTGTTTCGCCCCTCTTTTCAACCTAAACTAACCTATACAATAACGTGGACCGATATATCTGATTTTCAATACCATAACGCACACTTTTGTGCCAAATTTTCAAGCTCTTCTTCAAATAGTGTGGCCTGTATCGTGATTTCAACAGACAGATGGACAGACAGACGAACATCGTTAAATCGACTTAGAATTTCAGGATGATTATGAATATATATGTGCTTGATGGGGTCTACGACGAACATTTAGGGATTTAGGGAAACGGAATGACAAAGTTAATATACCCTCCGTTTCAAGGTGGTGGGTATAAGAATTGGGTGGACTCAGATTGTGATTTTTTGAATTTGGCAGCTTAGTTAGAGAAAATTGTATAATGTTTGTACAAACAATTTCATTTTGCAAATATTCTATATTAAGAAATTATTTGTGAATTCGTTCTTAATTAATAAATACGTTCACTTCTTTCAAATTGCATTAGAAACACACGGCGATGTTACTCTCGGTCTTTATATATATAAAACTTAAAGAGTTATTCTTACAATTTTTCACCAAGTTTATTCTTTCGGCTTTTATTTTACCCTGTCTTTTGAATAAAACATGATTTCCAATGTATCAACAATTTGTCATTTTCATCCAAAGAAAAGTTTCGATTCTCAAAGGATATGCATGTCTTCAAATTTGATTGATTTATTGTCTCGACATGACGACAATAAAAGAAAGATGTGCCTCGTTGTATGGATAAATATCTGCGTATGTAAAGGCAGTCATCCGCCTATGGCAATGACAAAACATTATTACCCCTAATTTTGTCACAAAAACACACACACTCACAAAGAGAACATCATCAATTGCCGGAGATGAGATGGAAATAAATTCAAAGACAGCTAGAATGACGTACAAAACATTATTTAAATAAGCAAAGAATTGTTATCGATTATCTTACGAGGATCTATCTATCAAGAGGAAGGAGAATCATAGATTTTTTTATTGTCGGCTAAATAATACGCTACACCACCGTCGTAGGCAGGGGACCGGTTCCATCCGGTGGATGGGGGCCCATCCGAAATGTTTTTCAAAGACATTTCTAGCTACGTGTGAAATATAAAACGTTGAGGCAAAGTTTTCTACACCTAAAACTATTTTGACTAGCATATATGTTGATAGGATATGAAAATACAAACATTTATATTAGATCGACGCAAAGTTTAGCAGCAGACAAAAATTGATGATACCCTATACCACTATTCTCGAATGTAACATATATTCCTCATTTTTACTTTTTTTTTTAATTTTATTGAATGAAAGCAAAAAATATCGGAAATAGCATCAGATTTTAGAATAAGTTTAGATTTGTTCGAATTGGTCACCTTTGGCACGAATCATGGCCTTCAAACGGCCAATGAAACCGTCACATACTGCCCGAATGTTGCTCTGCAGTACTTTGGCCCATTTCCCGCTAAGCGCTTGCTTGAGGTGATCGATACTTTGGTATTTTTTAGTGCCAACCTTGCTTTCCAAAATACTCCAGACACAATAGTCCAGCGAATTGGTATCCGTAGATTTTTCGCTATAATACTGAGAAATTATTCTGATGTCACGATCGATTAATACGAGCGGAGAGGGACCATCGGCTGTTATGGCGGCCCACACCATCACCATAGCCGGCGTTTAAATTCTGGTGTCCATTTCTGGAGTTCATTCTTCAATATTTGCCGAATGGAGTATTGCGATATGTTTAGCTTCGCTTCTTTACTTTTCGGACCGTTTCTGTTGATGTTGCTGTTTTCTTCCGTCCACTTCCTTGACGTCGGGCTACGCTACCAGTATCATTACGAGTACGATTTATTCACATTTAAATGCTGGAGTGCTCTAAAGATAGCCACTTGCGGTTGTGTCGGACGAGTTGCTTAGAAATGACAGCAGTCTGAAGTTGGTTGCAGTTTTTTCATCTCACCCTGTATATATGGGAGCTATAGCTGATTCCCTCCAAACTGAACTGTTTCTCTCCAAATTTCTAGGAAGAATTCAGTCGGAATTTTCCAAATTCAGCCCAATTGGTCTGATATTAACCATTTGCTGTACAAAAAATGTAAAATCGAATAAAGATATATATGGGAGCTATATCCAAATCTGAACCGATATTGACAAAATTTTAAACACTTATTTCTGAGTTGTATCTGACATCTGAAACCAAAGATAGTTGTTGTGGATGGCATATTACGCACGTGAGGGACTTAAATCCCAAATCGGATGAAACATTTATATAGGAAATATAGCTATAACTGAACGGATTTTCACCAAATTAGATGTACTTGCATCTAGACTAAAATCCGTCGGATGTGCCAAAATTCAGGTTATTTGGATTAATATTGGTCATTTGGTGCACAATTAACCCGAAATAGGTTAAAGATAAATATGTGAGCTATATCTAAATTTGAACCGATTCTCACCAATTTCAAAAGGATTCGTCCTTGAGCCAAACAAAAATTGTTTCATCTCGATCGGATTATAAATGCGACCTGCATTTTCTTCACAAAAATTCGTAGACAGACGGACAGACGGAATGATATGCATAAATCGACTCAGAAAGTGATTCTATGAAGATCCTCAAGAGTAACTGTGGGTCTATCACGCTTCCTTCTCCATGTTACAAACAAATGCACAAAGACATAATACCCTTACCACTATGTGGTGTAGGGTATAAAGAGCGGATTATTGGATAATATTTATAGGGTTAAATGTGGATTCACAAAGGGAATGACTTTAATCCTGAAATGTGCCTCTGAATTATAATTTTGTTTGCAGTTTGATAAAGATTAGAAAATTTAATTTTCATCAGGTTTATCCATTTTTAGCTTGGACTAAGAGTTTTAAAAAAAATTTTGAACAATCCCATCCACTTAGCATTTCAAAATAATATATGTTTAATGAAGCCATTAAAACTTTTCTTGATAATTACATTTTCGTTTGTAATAAAAATCATCTTTTTTTCATCCACCTCCTTTCAAACAATGCCTAACCTTAGATTTCTGCTGAAAATAAATGCCATATTCCAAAGATTATTTACCACAATAAACCATTGTGTCCAGGTTTCATTAAAAATGATTATATTTCCTTATGATTTGTTACAGTTGTCAGTTGTTATTGTTGTATTGAGTTGATGTTTAATGTTCGTCACTACCTTAACCTCAACCTTCGGCAAATATTTTGTCTTGAGTTCTTTCATTATGCGGGGGGAGGGGTTAAAATTTCCGTTTTTCTGAATGCACGGAGAACACTTAATGGCGCAATGAAAAGAAATGATAAATTTCGATGACATTAAATTTTTATATTTGTTCCTTTTATTACTTTTTGACACATATTTGATGGAATGACGACCACATCAAAAATGGAACTCAATTGTTCAAGCAACCAACAACTGACATTTATTTTATGTTCCCCACACCTCACTTAATAACACAAAAGAAAAGAAAAAACACAGGAAAATTATTACTTTTTATATGAAAAACTCTTGGCAGTGTCATATTTTATGGTGGCCACCAAAGTGGAGCAAAGAAGCCACAAGAAACGATAAAGAAGAAGGTCCGCAACATCTGTTGTTTGATGGATAAAAAAAGTGGCAAGGACACTCCTTGGCTTATTGATCGCTTTATGTCAGCCACACATCCTTGCGAGTCCACCTCTCTTCGCTTCAATCGCTTTATTGCAATGTGATTTTTCAATGTTTTATTGCGACAATTTTGGCCAGTTTCGGTTTGCCTTTGGCCAACAATCGTGAACGTACAACGGTGGTGAGATGTGCCTCCGTAACACAAGAGGTGTGGGGACGACGACAATAACGCGTCTGCTGGTGTTGGGGCTGTGGTGGTTGGCGACCCATTTTCACATCTGCCGACTGACATGTTTGGCGTTGATCCAAATCGATACGTTCCACTCGGTCAACTCGCATACTGCTCGGCCTCTTGGCCAAATAATCGTTGACATGGGTGTTAATGCCGTTGGCAATGTTAAGGCTCATTAAACGTTCCTCCAATTCCCTTTTCAGTCGGTCGTTTTCTTCTTCCAAGCCCCGCTTGCGCTGTGTCAGACAAACCAGATCGATTTTAACATTGTTAACACGCCGCCAGAAATCTTCCATCAATTGCCAGTTGCAAAAATTATCCTAGATGTTTTTTTTTTTTTTTTTTTTTGGAAATAAACAAATAATTTGTTGTATTATGTAAAAGGAATAAAATAATGCTTAACTTACTGACTTCAGCTCCTCTGGTACTTGTGAATATTCCTCAGCTTCATTTTCAAACATTATCTTGCTAATGGGCGGCAAACCCATGGGTAAAACTTTCTCCTTTTCGGTTTCGAATTTACGACAAACAGCCACCAATTGTAGCAGAGTGTTGCCTTTTTCGAAGATATTTTTTAAGTTCTGAAATGAAAAAAAAAACTGACTATGAAAAAAAAAACAGTAAAGAAAGCCTTAAAGTCTGGCGGGGCCGACTTGTGATACCCTACACCACTTTGCTAATTTAGTAGAGCTCCACATAACAATTAAACGTTTTTATGGGAAAGTTCAATTATACACGTTATGATTATAAGTATAATTTAAAGTTCAAAGGACTAAATATGCTTGTATTGCCCATTTGGTGCACAATTAATTTGAAATCGGATAAAGATATATATGGGAGCTGAACCGATATCGATAAAATTTGGTAAAGATATTTCTGAGCTGTATTTGATATATTTCCCTGTGAATGAGAAGAGAAAACCAACCGAACGGTTTGGCTGTAGATTCAATTCTAATTTTATTTAAGGAATATGTTTCTTACGTACTACTGAAACTAATCTAACTTAACCTAGTCGCAGCCACACAATTGTTCTTATCTATTCTAATATTGAATGGAGAACATTGCAGGGCTGCTTTACATTTCATTCAAGTGATCTTGTGCATCTACTGAGCGCATCGATATCTGTGCGTGTGGGTCATAACCTTTATTATCTGACACATTATCGTATGCGTCAGCGCACAAGATCACCGAATTCTTCACATGTGATATTTTATGGCGGCTGGGAAATATTTAATTTTAGAAGATTTATTTTTTATTGCTGAATTTTCCCAGCGCCTTAATCGCACTCAAAAGTATGTACAAAGTATTTTGTACATTCTCCCGGGCGGCTTAAATGTGCATGTTTATAGTGGACTGTATTTTTTATAAAGTTAACAAATGGATAATATGGAATATTTAAATATAAAGATATGAAAGATTTGAAAAGAAAATTTATGCGTAACTATCTATATATGTTGAAATAATATCAGGTAACCGCTTCCAGGAAACGACTCCAACGTTTCATCCAGCCTCTCTTGCCGATACCACCACCTTTATCTGCCGGCTTCATTTTCCATGCTGCCGAATTAGTAGTCCATCGCTGCAGACCGTCATCACCCATGTAGCAAATGATTGCCGTCGGCTTTATTGTAAGCTCCGATTCGTCGTCTTCTGTTTTCACGGCCCTTGATGATTTGCTATGGATTTCGCTAAGACCTTCAGGAACCGGAACCAGAGAATTTTGTTTGGCTTTTCCCACTTCTTCGATAAATTCATTTCCATACTCGTTGGAATACTCTTCAGGAACCGGAACCAGAGAATTTTGTTTGTCTTTTCTCATTTCTTCGATTAATTCTTTCCCATATTCGTTGGAAATGATGTGACCTTCTGTGCTTATCGCCTTCATTTCTTTTTCCTTTTCTCCAATATCATTATGTTTTTCGGGTTCTTCATTGGTCAGGGCGGAATTTTCTTCTTCTTCTTCTTTCCGTTCCTCAAAATGAGGACTTGCCGGCGGGAAAAAATTTCCAGAATTACCTTCCAAGACTGGAATCTGTTTTCGTTCAACAGCATTATGTCCCTCTCTTGCACTTGCTAGTTGTGTGGACAGGTCATCTTTTCCAGCTTCGACGACTTGCCTTTCCTTTTGTTCCTTGTCCCCTTTTTGATTGTTGCTGGATTGCTGCGATAGGAACATCTGCTCAATTTCTTCCATAATCGACTTAATTTTCTCCTGGTGCTGCTGGATAATCACATTCTGGAACGCCCGAAACTCTCGTACCATTTTTTCCATATCGAACTCGGATATATTCAATGCGTCTCCTGACGCTGTTGTATTTTCTCGTTCCTCTTCTTGGAACTTTTGATTTTGGAACTCCTTTTCCATTTTTTGCTTTTATATATATATATATATATATATATTTTTTTTTTGTATATTTTGCTTCTTCGTTTTTATACCCTACACCACATAGTGGTAAGGGTATTATGTCTTTGTGCATTTGTTTGTAACATGGAGAAGGAAACGAGTTAGACCCATAGTTACTTTTGAGAACCTTCATAGAATCACTTTCTGAGTCGATTTATGCATGTCCGTCCGTCTGTCCATGTATTCTTGTGAACAAAATGCAGGTCGCATTTATTATCCGATTGAGATGAAATTTTCCAAACAATATTTTTTTGGCCCAAGGACGAACCCTATTGAAATTGGTGAGAATCGGATCAAATTTAGATATAGCTCCCATATATATCTTCATCCGATTTCGGGTTAAATGTGCACCAAATGTCCACTATCAGTCCAAATTACCTGAATTTTGGCACACCCAACCGAGTTCGGCCTAGAAGCAAGTATATCAAATTTGGAGAAAATCGGTTCAGATATAGCTATAGCTCCCATATATATCTTTAATCCGATTTGATCTTTAAGTCCCTAACATTCCTACTATGCACTCCACAACCGTGATATTTGGTACCAGGTATTAGATGGAGCACAGAAATAGCTGTTTTAAATTTTATCGAAATCGGTTCAGATTTGGATATAGCTCCCATATATATCTTCATCCGATTTCGGGTTAATTGACCAACAAATGGCCAATATCAGCCCAAATGGCCCGAATTTTGGCACATGTGACCGAGATTAGCCTTAAAGCAAATACAACAAATTTGGAGAAAATCGGTTCAGGAACAGCTATAGCTCCCATATATATGTTTTATCCGATTTGGTTTAAACCTCTCACATTCGTAATATGCACTCCACAAGAATGATATTTGGTACCAGATATAAGATACAGCCCAGAAATAGCTGTTTGTAATTTTATCGAAATCGGTTCAGATTTGGATATAGCTCCCATATATATCTTCATCCGATTTCGGGTTAATTGGGCACCAAATGGCCGATATAAGTCCAAATGGACTGAATTTTAGTACATCGGACCAAATTCAGCCTAAAAGCAAGTATATCAAATTTAGTGAAAATCGGTTCAGATATAGATATAGCAACCATATATATGTTTCATCCGATTTAGTGTTTTAGTCCCATACATTCGTAATATTCACTCCACAACCGCGATATTTGGTACCAGGTATTAGATGGAGCGCAGGAATAGCTGTTTTAAATTTTATCGAAATCGGTTCAGATTTGAATATAGCTCCCATATATATCTTCATCCGATTTAGGGTTAAGTGTGCACTAAATGGTCAATATCAGCCCAAATCACCTGAATTTTCGTACATAAGACCGAATTCAGTCTAGAAGCTAATACGTAAAATTTGGAGAAATTAGATAGATTTTGATTTTGTACCAAATATCTCATAGAGCTCTGAAATGCACTGTATAAACCTTTTTACGAGAGCTCTACTAAATATGCATAGTGGTGTAGGGTATCATATAGTCGGCCCCGCCCGACTTTTGAGCTTTCCTTACTGGTTTTTTACTGCTTTTATTTCATTTATTTATTATTATTATTTTTTTTTAATTTACTTCTTTTTAATTGGGACTTTTGATGTCCTCTTTTCAAAATTGCATGTTTTTTTTTCTTTTTGGGACTTTATTGTCCTCATTTAGTTATTATTTTTTTTTTTTTTTAATTTGCCCCGTGGGTCTTTTTTGTTTTTTTTTTTTTTCTTGCTCCTATGGCGTATTTTGTAATTTTTGCCCGTTGGGTCTTTTTTTTATTTTTGCCTTTATGGTTTTTTTTTTTATTTTTGCACTATGGCTTTTTCATATAATTTTGTCCCTTCGACTATCTTTTAAAATGCCCTACGGTCTTACATTTAAAATGTCTCAGCGGACTTTTTGGTAGCAGTTCTCCTCCTTTTTGAAGAACAGCTACTTCTTTTTTGGCTTTTCTGGTGGGGGATAACTCAAATCAATTTTATTTTAGGTCGTCGATTCTTTATTTTTCGAAGGACCAATGAAAAAGGCGAGAAAAGAAAGAACCTTATTCTTTGGATGTAGTTTCAATTCTAATTTTATTTAAGGAATATGTTTCTTACGTACTACTGAAACTAATCTAACTTAACCTAGTCGCAGCCACACAATTGTTCTTATCTATTCTAATATTGAATGGAGAACATTGCAGGGCTGCTTTACATTTCATTCAAGTGATCTTGTGCATCTACTGAGCGCATCGATATCTGTGCGTGTGGGTCATAACCTTTATTATCTGACACATTATCGTATGCGTCAGCGCACAAGATCACCGAATTCTTCACATGTGATATTTTATGGCGGCTGGGAAATATTTAATTTTAGAAGATTTATTTTTTATTGCTGAATTTTCCCAGCGCCTTAATCGCACTCAAAAGTATGTACAATGTATTTTGTACACCCTGAATATCGTTGTTACGAAGTGCATATTACGGCTGTGGGTAACAAATGCAACAAATCGGATGAACAATATATATGGAAGCTATAGCTGTATCTGAACCGATCTTGACCAAATTTGGCATACTAGCTTCTAGACTTAATTTGGTCGTATGTGCCAAATTCCATACTATTTGGGCAAATATTAGACGTTTGGTGCACAATAAAAGGCAAATAGGACGAAGTTATATGTGGAAGTTATATCCAAATCTGAACGGATCTCGATAAAATTAAGCAAAGGTATTTCTGAGCTGCATTTGATATATTTCTCCAAATATTGTTGTTACAGAGTGCATATTACGGCTGCGGAGGACAAAAATAACATATCGGCTGAACTATATATATGGGAGCTATAGCCATATCTGAACCGATTTCGATCAAATTTGGCACACTTATTTTCAGGCCTAATTTGGTTGTATGTGCAAAATTCCATACTATTCGGGCTGATATTACACGTTTGGTGCACAATAAAATGCAAATCGAACGAAGATATATATGGGAACTACATCTAAATTTTTGCCGATTATCTCCACATCTTTCAATAGGGTTCATCCTTTGGGCAAACAAATGTTGTTTGGAAAATTTCATGTCAATCGGATAATAAATGCGACCTGCATTTTGTTCACAAGAATACATGGACGGACGGACGGACGGACTGACATGCATAAATCAACTCAGAAAGTGATTCTATGGAGATTCTCCAAATTAACTATGGGTCTATCTCGCTTCCTTCTCCATGTTACAAACAAATGCACAAAGACATAATACCCCTACCACTATGTGGTGTAGGGTATAAAAATAGAAACAAACAAGTAAAACGACATTCGGGCGGACCGAACTTTTAATACCCCCCTACTTTTGGGTAAATAAGACATTTTTAAGTATCTGAATTCACTCGCGAATATCCGGTGGTACCATTATGTGAGGGCGTAGACCTATGCATATTATTTTTCGCCGCAGGAGTTAGGACCCTTTACGAACTAAAACTGAGAAATTTTTGGACAAATCCGTGGAAAAATGTGTCGAAAATCATCAAAATACCGAAAATCAGGCGGTACCGTTATATGGCGGCTATTCCAAAACGTGTATCGATGTATCTTATTTTCAATACCAAACATACAAATTGTTCTGCCATTGTTGATGGTATACGTCAAATAATGTCGGCTGTATCGTGATTTATACAGACAGCCAGACAGACATACAGACGGATGTCCTTAAATCGAATAATAATATACTTTACGGGGTCTATGACGAATCTCTTGGGATGTTTCAAACGGATTGGCAAAATATAAGGCTTAGCAAATCGAAACAACACGAAACGAATATACTTCTTCAAGTTTTTATACCCTCATTCTGTTTGCAACACCTCGAAATATTCGTTGGAAACGCCAAAAAGTATATATGTTCCTGATCAGAATAAAATTATAAGGCAATTTAGATATATCCGTCTGTCTTTTGAAATCACGATAAAGTCAACATTATTTAATATAGGGCTTGGTAATTTAGGTTATTTCTTATTTATACCCTACAAAACTATGTGTTGGGGGTATTATAAGTTTGATTGGGCCAAAAATTATGTAACACCTCGAAATATTGGTTTCCCACATAGGAAAGTATATATGGATCTTCCTATTTCGCTGAGGTGAGTCGATCTAGCTATGTATCTCCGTCCGTTCGTCTGTCCATGTTAATTTGTAATCACTGTACAGGTCGCAATTATAGCCCGATCTTCACGAAATGTAGCATGAATGTGGGGATAGGGAGAGAATAGAAGCCTATTGTTTTTGGAGATGATTGCATAATATTCAGAGGTTGAAAGGTCGCAATTATGGGCCAATCGACGCGGAAGTTTGCATGGGCCTAGAGTTTAAGGCTGGGCGGAAGCCTTTCAAGTTTGGTCATCGGGTAATATTTAGTGAGTGAAATAGACAATAACATTTGTGTTAAATATTCAAGTCAAATTTTCCATTAAGTCGCCAATATTTTTAATACCGTCGAAATCACAAATAGATGAAAAGGTCAATTCTGACCATTACGTTGATACCGATAATAAATATCTCATATATATATATATATATATATATATATATATATATATATATATATATATATATTGAAGAATAAACAATGTGTTTATACAAAGGGAAGGAGTGTTAGCTAAAATGTAGAAATTTTGTCAATTCAGAATGCCCTCATGACATAAAAGAATAAAATCTAGAAAAAGCATAAAAAGAAGCCAATACTGATGTTGCTATAGATTTTGTGATTTTTTTTTTTTTATTTTTTATCGCATGCGATGTTTTCAGTTTGACTTATTATATTGAAGTGTACATTTTGGCATATTTTTTACCCTATAACACAGGTTAGGGTTATTATACATAATTATCGTCCGATCCTCACGAAAATTTCCACAAGGGTAGGGATAGTTTCAGAAGGGCTACATCTATTGTTATTTTTTAAAGATGCCCACAATATGAAATGGACCAACAGCTAAAAATGTTCCGGATTTTGCAGCCGTTATAAAGGTCACAAATAAAAACCAAATCTCGCATGAAGTTTCAGTTTAGGACAGTGGTTAGAATGGACCACTACTTTTCTGTAAAAAATACCAACATTTCCATACTACCGAAACGCTGAAAATAACATACAGGTGAAATCCAAAATATACGAAATGCGAACTTCTGGCTTTTTATACCCTACAACACTATGTGTTGGGTGTATTATAAGTTTAATTGGGCCAGAATTTATGTAACACCTCGAAATATTGGTTTCCCATGTAGGAAAGTATATATGGATCTTCCTAGCTCGCCGAGCTGAGTCGATCTAGCTATGTATGTCCGTCCGTCTGTCCGTCTGTCCATGTTAATTTGTAATCACGCTACAGGTCGCAATTATGGCCTGATCCTTATGAAATTTTGCACGAAGATGGTGTTAGGGTCAGAATAGAAGCCTATTTCTTTTGGAGATGATCGCCAAATGTTTAGGGGTTGAAATGGACCAAAAACTGAAAAAATGTCGGATTTTGCAGTAGCTATACAGGTCGCAATTATAGACCAATCGATGTATGTAGCTAGAGTTTAGGGCGGGGAAGAAGCTTACCAATTTGGGTGGTCATCGGATAATATTTAGCGGGTAAAATAGACCATATCTTTTGTGTTGAAAAAATTAAAAAATTTTCATTAAATCGTGAATTTTTGAAATCCCGGCGAAATCACAAAGTCATGACAAGGTTACTTCTGACCTTTACATTGATGTTAACATCCAACAAATCGGATATATAGCAAAATATGTGCGATATATATGTCTATCAAAGAAGATATGCTTGAAAGATCTCTTATATGTCTAGAACGGCTGAACTGATTTCGACAGTTCTCATTAATCCAGAATGGCCTCTTGGCAGGAAAGAAAAAACGTCTAAAAAAATCTCATAAAAATATCTCTCTAAAGATGAAAATATTGGTTTTGTAACATTTTCTCATATTTTTTCAATTTTGTCATATTTTTTTTTTGCATATTTTCATTTTGAATTAAACAGTTGGTAATATTTTTACAGCTAACAAAACTAAGTAGTTAGGATATCAGGATATCATATACAGATCGCATTTATGGCCCGATCCTTACGAAATTTTGCATGGGGTAATATGAGGGTCAGAATAGATGCCTACTTTTTTGGAGATGATCGCTATATATTTAGGGGTTGAAATGGACCAAAAAACTGCAAAATTGTCAGCAGGTCGTAATTATCGCCCGATCCTCATGCACATTTGAATGGGAGTTACCGCACATTGCAAAAGCCAAGCAGCTTAGGATGGCCATCCAAAAAGTATTCAATGTGTGAAATAGTTTGCCTACTTTTGTAGACTAAATACGAAAATGTCCATTCCAGGGACTTTTTGGAGAATTCACAAATACAGGAAAGACGCACTTCTGACTATTTCGTTAGCGCTGATTTCGTTGAAGAATATAGTCAAATGTCTGTATCTCATATAGATGCGTTTCAGTCAAAAACCAATAATAAATGTTAATCTTTTGCCACTTCTGAGAGATTATAGGTCTTTGGGAAATATTGGTTCCAGATCTAGGAAGACCATTTACGTGCAACATCTACCAATAAATTGGAAATGAGCAAATTAGTTAAAGTTGCTATTATTCGAAAATTAGAGAACGAAACCTGATGGTTTTCTTTTATTATTTGTCACAATATCTTGTGGAGTTCTTTCGAGTATCTCGCCTATATAAAATGTATGGTTTATTATAGTGTTGTAGAGTATTCAACGGTCGGCCCCGCTCGCTTGTTTATGCTGATTTCGTTGACGAATATAGAAAAATATCGTAGATAAGCAAATCGTAAATTATATAGGGTTTCAAATGAACCAAAAACAGAAAATTTTTTCTGATCAATCAATTGAAACCAATCGACGCAGAATTTTGCATGAGAACATAGTTAAGAACAGGGAAGAAGTCTTGCATTTTGGATGACCATTGGATTATATTTAGCTGTAAAATGGACAATAACCACTAACAGCACGACGGAGTGCGTAAATATTGGGCAAATATTCCTGGTCAAAAAGCTAAGGGTAATATCTGGGCAGTACTTTATGACATAATGTCAAAAGTGAAACTTTCCAAGATGGTTGTGGACATCAAGGGGCTTCTAACATATTGTAGTGTTGCAGGGGTATCACATGACCGGCCACCCACCACTGTAGCCTAGCTTACTTGTTTTATAAAACAATTTAATATTCTAAGTTAACAAAGTGCGGCCCGGCTGAACTTATAACCTCTTTTACTTGTTATACCGTTTACCATAGTATGAATGGAACAGAAAGTTCGTCATTCCGTTTGGAACACCTCGAAATATACATTTTAGACCCTACAAAGTACATATATTCTTAATCAGCTCAAAATTCGATGTCGATTTTACGATGTCCGTTCGTCTGTCTGTCCGATCAGCATAAAATTCTCTGTCGATTTAATGGTGTCAGTACGTCTGTCCGTCTGTGGAAATCCCTCTAGCTTCCGAGCGAATTGAAGTAGGTTGATACAATTTTACTCAGATGTGTGTTTGGTCTGCAGGACTTTTGGCATTGGCATTAAGCTAACAATATGGATTTGAATGAACAAATGGAGCTGAAAATTTTGCACTAAAAAGTTCGAAAAATCTAAATTTGCATTAAGGTTACGTTTTAAAAAATAGGGTTAATATATGGATAAGGATTCTGAAAAACGTACCAACAAGTACGACATTTTGGTATATGAGGAAGGGATATTTGAAATTTTGAATGAAGGCATTTGATGTTGTGTGCGGATTGGATAAGGAACCAAATGTCATATGAGAATTAACAAGTAAAAGAACATTAAGTTCGGCCGGGCCAAACTTTTAATACCCTCCACCTTAGGGTAAAGGAAACATTAGAAGAATTGTGGCAAAAACCACTAAAATGCCGAATATCGGGAGGTATCGTTATATGGGGGCTATACCAAATCGTGGACCTACACATGCAAAGTTTCGCCAACGGAGCTAGAACCCATTATGACATACAAATACCAATTTTCAGACAAATACGTGAAAAAAAATGTGCCAAAAATCATTAAATTGCAGAATATTGTTAGGTACCGTTATATGGGGGCTATACCAAAACGTGGACCCATACATACAACGTTTCGCCACACGAACTAGGACCCATTATGACTCACAAATACCTATTTTTAGACAAATCAGTGAAAAAAATGTGGCAAAAACCATCAAAATACCGAATATCGGGAGGTACCGTTATATGGGGGCTATACCGAATCATGGACCCATACATGCAATGTTTCGCCACTGGAGCTGGAACCCATTATGACCAACAAATTCCAATTTTTAGACAAATTCGTTAAAAAAAATGTGGCAAAAATAATCAAAATACCGAATATCGGGAGGTACCTTTATATGGGGGCCATACGTGAACTTATACATGCAATGTTTTGCCACACGTACAGGGACCCGTTATGACCTACAAATACCAATTTTCAGACAAATCCGTGAAAAAATGTGGCATAAATCATCAAAATACCGAATATCGGGAGGTACCGTTATATGGGGACTATACCAGAACGTGGACCGATATATATCATAGACACAATGCCAATTGCTCTGCTAAATTTTGGCGCTCTACGTTAAATAATGTGGGCTGTATCGTGATTTCAACAGACAGACAGACGGACATCGTTAGATCGACTTAGAATTTTATGCTGATTATGGGGTCTACGACGAATATTTAAGGATGTTACAAACGGAATGAAAAAGTTAATATACCCTCCTTTCCAAGGTGGAGGGTATAAAAATAATGTATAAAAGTCAAGTAAGAAATTTGGTATGAAAACATTTAAGTAAAACTTTATCAGCCTACTTCATTTTGTTTTGAAGCTAGAGTGATTTCCACAGATGGACGGAAATCGCAAAATCGACATAGAATTTTATTTTGAGTCGTTACAAACGGAATGACAAACTTAATATACCCTCCATACTATGGTGGAGAGGCAGGTACCAGAAGCGTTAGGTCGATATCTATCATCTTCACGCCATATCTTTTATTAAAAGAAATATAGAGATGAGTGAAACTTGAAGAGAATCGGATGTTTATTCGCATTTTATGAGCTTTTCGTTATTCAAAATTTCGACCCCTTTGTGGCGGATGTACCAGATAGTGTGGACCGATATATCCTATCTTCAAACCACAACTTGTGTCATCAAAACTGTTTGAATATGTGAAATTTGCTGAGAATCTGAAGCTTATATCCCACATTGTAAAAGATAAAATTATTCAAAATGTTGGCCCATTTTGGTAAAAGGTATCAGAAGGAGTGGTCCGAAATTATATATCTTCACAGCTAGTTTTGTGTTGACAGAAATATTGGAATATACCAAGTTAAAAAAAATCGGATGCTCATTTCCCATTTTATGATCGTTTTGTTTTTGAAAATTCTGACTGATTCTGATGGGTCTGATGTATTCCATCTTCATACCAGTAGAAATATTGGGATTATCATCAACATATAAAAAAAACTCTCCCATTTTACTCACCTTCACCGCTTGATAACTTTCCACACTGATCGTTTTGAATTTCTCCTGATTCCCCTGCAATTCAGCATCGATTCTTTCCTTTAGTTCCGCATGTTTCTTCATCATGTATTCTTTGAGATCTTTTAAATGTTTCAACTTCACTTCGCTTTTATCTTCAGCATCGGCCACGGTAAGTTTCAAAGCGGCCAACTGATTGCTGGCCTTTTCTATCTCATAGCAATATTCTCGAGTTTGATTTGTATATTCTTCATCTTTTTCTTTCAGATCCATATAATCAGCATAGAATCCTTCGGTATGCTGAACATATTCAGCTAATGCCTGTTGGTATTCTTTCCATAGTTTTTCGAGTTTTTGTTCGCCCTTTTCGGTGATTTCTTCAATACGTAGCTGCATCTGTAAAGGAAGGGGTTTTCTAGATAAATGTTTTGAAAAAAAAAATGCCACCCATGCTATAGATAAAAGGTCTTCAAAAGCTTTCTTTTGAAAAAGAAAAAAGTTAGAAATTTTAAATAAAGTATTTGCAAGCAGGTTGGCCCCCTCCGGAATGGCTATTTTTATAAATTCTTTGCTAATTTTTAAAAGAAAATTTATTGTTTGCCAGATGGGCCGCCCTTGAGCTATTTTCGAAATGGGGTTTTGATTACGTCCCTGTTTACCAGGTTATCTACTGCCAGAATGCCTTTAATAGGTTGTCTGTAAGAACAACAACTTTAACAGATCCCCAATAGGCTAAAGGACTAGGTTTCTATAGTAGGTTCCTTACCGTTGCCTTGATATCATCCAATTTCTCCAGATATCTCTCGTGGGCCTCATTGCGCTGATTCTCATTTTTCTCTTCCAGCTGATAGTAGACATTCTCCAGTTGTTCCTGGGCGCGCTCCCGTAAATTTTGCATTTTACTGAAATCCTCATTAAATTGTTCGAGCATTGTTTGCCTCTCGCGCTCATAGTTCTCCTTGAAGAAAACCAAGCGTTGTTCTTGGATATCTGTAAATGGCAAACAGCAATATTGGAACAGAAATCTTCCATCTCTTTCACTCACTCATAAAATGATGCAACATTTCCATGTGGGTTTGGGAACTTGTATCATGTTGACCATGGGCCACTTCTAAGTCGTGCAGCAATCGCTGTATGACACCGTCCTTGTGATCCAACATGTCCTTGCTGTATTTTTCCATGTCAATAATTTCTTTGCGCAACTCCTGACATTTGACCTGTCTCAAAATGGAACGCCACTCTTGATTGATTTTGGCCATATTCAGGCGGCTGAAAGCCTCCTCCCGTTTTAGTTTATTCTGCGAAAGTCAAAAGGACCGTAGTAATAATTTAAAGATGTGACATTCCCAAAGGAAAAATTACCTTCATATACATGGAAATCAGTTGCATTTTTCGGCGACGGGCCTCTTCCTCAATATCAGCCCGTAGCTGGAGATATCTTGCCCTTTCCTCTTCGGACATTTTTGCCAATTTATTTCCTTTACCTTTCTTACCCATTTTTGAGGAATTTTGGGGATTCTAAGTAATTTTCAATTTAAAAAAATTTTAAAATTTCCACTTAAACAAGTCACAGGATATTCAAGGAAAAGGATGTGACCCGAAGTTCGACGTAGCTGGTTGGAGTATGAAATTTATGTTTTCCCTTTTGCATTGTTTGGAGTCCATAACTTGGTTGCCGGTTTACCCCCATCACACGGTTGGTTACGTTGACAACCGGTATGGGCTGCGTTCGTAGTTAATTTATGAAGGTAAACAGCGGCAACAACTTGAAAAGCAGGCTGCCAGGATATATGAAGCCTATTGAAGCGTAGAGAGCGTGTAGAATCTATGTGCCCTGGTTGGTGTGTGTTTGTGTGTGTCTGATATATGTTTGCATATGACATGTTATCGTATCATTTGATACTTCTCAACTCAACTAACACACTTTTGTGCTAAACTCCATCTAAAGTTTTAACAAAGGTGTGATAAATGCTTAAGGGCCAAACAATTTTCCGCCACTTAAGTGAAAAACTATAGGGATTTTATTTCAGAAATATTAGTTTTCCAAATTTTTGCACTTTAGGAAGATATTAAAATTTAAAGATGGAGTAAAGTAATTTGGCTATGGAGAAGTTTGCAAAGGTTGACACGATAATGCTAAAATACTAGCTATTAGTTTCACATAAACGAAATGATGAAATTTCTTATTTGGCAGAGGACCTTAGACCAATGACAGATTCGAAATAAATTGGAATTTCAATTTATGGCTTAAAGAAATATTTTTTTCTGGGGTCACACAGAGATCACACTGGAGTAGTTTTAAAATGCGCATATATCTCAAAAATTCAACAAGTAAAGAAAGGCCAAAAACCAGATTCGATTTTTTCCACCCTACACGTTTCTGTAGGAAATTTATGTGAAGTAAATCTTAATACACATGATCATATTGAATGCGCTAGAGCAGATGAAACTGATATATGAGAGCTATATCTGAACCGTTATCGATTACCACTAAATCTGACTGAGTTCTTTTTATTACTGTATGTGGATTTCTAATATCATTGCTCAGAGTGCGTGTTATGACTTTGACCAAGCTTATATATAAAACTGTCTTAATCGATGCTGTCTAACCTTTACAGTCTTTATTAAATTATATTAAAACTTATTAATATATGAGAGCCATATCTAAATCGGATCCGATCTAGACAAAATATGGAAAAGGTTCTTCCAAGCTGCATTCAGCGTTTGAATTTTGGTAATGAAGTCTTCACAGTTCTGCTGGCCGTCACAGTCATAAATAAAAAAAACTGTAAATTAGGTTGGGTCAAACTTTGAATACCCTCCACTTTTCAATTTTCAAAAATATATTCGATTAAAAATTCTGTTAAAATCTTAAAAATACCGATAGCCGTTATACTAGGGTCTATACGACGACGTAACTTCTGTCATAAGCTATTACAATATTCAAATGCAAAATACCGAATATAGGGATGTACATTATATGCGGACTATACTAAAACGTGAACCTGCACAGATAATTTTCTGTTAGAGGCTGTAGTATGCATTTCGAATTTCAAATACCAACTTTGAAACATTTCCGATGAACAATGTCGCTCAAATACCTCCCCTACAAAGGGTTAAAATTTTAAATAATCCAAACTTTATAATCGTTTTGATTATTCAAAACTTTGAGCAAAATTTGATCCGAAATCAACATCCGGTTCTCTTCATATTTCATATATTCCATCATTTCTTTTAACACAAGATCTTCTGTGAAGACGGAATGTATCGGTCCACTCCTTCCGATACCTCTACCATACAAAGGGTCAACATTTTGAATACCCATGAAGCTCATAAAACACAAAATTAACATCCGATTCCATTTAGACTAGCCACATCTCAATATTTCCATCAACACAAGATCTGTTTTAAAGATGGTAGAGATCGAAACATTTCTTCTGGTACCTCACCCACAAAGGGTCACAATTTCCAATAATTATAAATATAACTAGCGAAACAAGTCGGCGACTCTATGTAACTTTTTGTATCTAAATATTTCTCTTAACCTGAAATCTGATATGAATATGTAATTTATCGGAATTTATGATTCCTTATAAATTTGGTTATAAATATTCGATTTTGTTTAAATTGTGCTCATACCAATATTTATATCTGTATTAGATAAAGTGGAATATTTCGGTCCGCTTTATCTAGTACCTCTCGCACATTTCCACATTTTTTACAGAAATTTTACATATATCTTACAGTGTTGCCCATATTCGACGGAGCCATCTGGCAGCGCCATAACTTTTGACAGAGATGTCACATCGCTTAATGACATACCGCGTTTGAAGCGTCAGTCCAAGCAGATTTTTACCATGAACCAATACACGCCACGCGAGCGCTCTGAAATAGTTGAAATTTACATTCAACAGAAGAAGTCAATTGTGAAAACTCAACGTGCTTTTAAAACATTAAAAAATGTGAGAAGTGCGCCTTCTAAGAACACCATTAAGCGTTTATACGAAAAATTTTCGACTGGTAAGGCTCTTTCTAATCCGAAGAGGCCATATAAAAGTCGACCAAGGCAATCGGTCGAGAATATCGCTGCGTACGAGCCAGTGTTGAGAAGTCCCCAAGAACATCCCAAAAACGCCGTTCTCAGCAGTTGGGCATGGCTCGGTCCACTTTACAACGTATTATTCGCATTGATTTGTATTTGTTCCCGTACAAAATTCAATTGATGCAAAGAATGTTGCCTGCGGACAAGCCCCGTCGATTGGAATGGGTCCAAAGGGCCGAAAGGTCCGTCGAATATGAAGCGTAGGAAGTAGACGATATAGTCAAAATATGGCACGATGTACTATTTATATCAGACTTAGGTCAGATACGACCCATAAAGGGTCAACAGTGTGAATAATCATAACTCAAGGCTGCAGGTATATATCTGTCGGCAAAACCGACTGATACTATTTATCTTGTTGCAGCAATCCAATAGGCAGGTTAAGTTAGTAAAAGGGCCATGCCGGTTCACGTTTTCGTACTTATCTGCCTTTTATACCCTACAACACTTTGTGTTGGGGGTATTATAAGTTTGATTGGGCCAATAATTATGTAACACCACGAAATATTGGTTTCCCACATAGGAAAGTATATAGGAACTTCCTATCTCGCCGAGCTGAGTCGATCTAGCTATGTATGTCCGTCCGTCCGTCTGTCCATGTTAATTTGTAATCAATCTACAGGTCGCAATTATGGCCTGATCTTCACGAAATTTAGAATGGAGGTGCGGCTATGTTGGAGATGATCGCATAATATTTAGGGGTTGAAATGGACCAAAAACTGGGGGCTAGAGCTTAGGGCTGGGCAGAAGCATTCAAATTTTGATGGTCATCGGGTAATATTAAGTGGGTGAAATAGGCCATAACATTTTTGTTAAATAGAAGTCAAATTTTCCACTAAACCCGAATAATTTTAATCCCGGCGAAATCACAAATAAACGAACAGGTCAATTCTGACCGTTACGTAGATGCCGATAGTAAATATATCGGTTATATATAGCGAAATATATACAATGTATATATACAAAGGAAGGGGATGTTATTTAGAACGCTTATATCTCAAAAATGGCTGGACCGATTTTGACAAATTTTGTCAATTCAGAATACCCTCTTGACATAAAAGTATAAAATCTAAAAAAATCGCAGAAAAATATGCCAATAAAGATATTAATATTGATTTTGTAGTATTTGGGACATTTTTTTTATTTTTTTCATTTCAATTTGACTTGTAATATTTTGAAATATTTTTCACCTTACAACACATGTTGGGGATATTATATAAGTATTGAAAATATCGTCCGATCCTCACGAAAATTTTTACAACGGTAGGGTTGGGCTCGGAAGGGCTAGGCCTTTTGTTTTCAAAGATGTCCGCAATATATTAGGGGGTTGAAATGGACCAACAAAATTTAGAAACCAAAGAACACGAAATCTCGCATAAAGTTAGAGTTAGGACAGCGGCTACAATGGGCCACTAATTTTGTGTGAAAAATACCAACATTACATACAGGCGATATCCGAAATACACAAAAGGCGAATTTCTGGCTTTTTATACCCTACACCACAAGGTGGTCAGGGTATTATGTCTTTGTGCATTTGTTTGTAACAGGCAGAAGGAAACGAGATAGACCCATAGTTCCTTTTGATGATCTGCATAGAATCACATTCTGAGTCGATTTATGCATGTCCGTCCGTCCGTCCGTCTGTCCATGTATTTTTGTAAACAAAGTACAGGTCGCATTTATTGCCCGATCCAGACGAAATTTTGCACAGATCATTTGTTTGGCCCAAGGACGAACCCTATTGAAATTGGAAATAATCGGTCAAAATTTATATATAGCTCCCATATATATCTTCGTCCGATTCGCCTTTTATTGTGCACCAAACGTGTAATATCAGCCCGAATTTGAATTTTGCGTATACACCCAAATTAGGTCTGAAAATATTTATGCCAAATTTGATCGAAATCGGTTCAGATATACCTATAGCTCCCATATATATTGTTCATCCGATTTGTTATTTTTGTCCACCGCCGCCGTAATATACACTCTGCAACAACAATATTTGGGGAAATATATCAAATGCAGCTCAGAAATACATTTGCTAAATTTTATCGAGATCGGTTCAGATTTGGATATAGCTCCCATACATAACTTCGTCCGATTTACTTTTTATTGTGCACCAAACGTCTAATATTTGTCCAAATGGGATGGAATTTGGCACTTACGACCGAATTAGGTCTAGAAGATAGTATGTCAAATTTGGTGAAGATCGGTTCAGATATAGCTATAGCTCCCATATATACTGTTCATCCGATTTGTCATATTTGTTACCCACAGCCGTAGTATGCACTCCGTAACAACGATATTCAGGGAAATATATCAAATACAGCTCAGAAATATATTTGCCAAATTTTACCGAGATCGGTTCAGATTTGGATATAGCTCCCATATATATCTTTATCCGATTTCAAATTAATTGTGCACCAAATGGGCAATACAATTCCGAATTTAAAAGATACAAATGCTTCGGCATATTTAGTCCTTTGAACTTCATAATTATA